TCTTGTATTTTATTTTTAGACAAGCCTTGCTGAGTTGCTTAGGGCCTTGCTACATTGCTGAGRCTGGCTTTGAACTTGTGATCCTCCTGCCTCAGCCTCCCGAGCCACAGAGATTACAGGTGTGCATGCACAACTGCGCCCAGCTCATTCATCTTAATATACAGCTTATGAGCTGCTTGTGTGCATGTATGTCTATTTTGTCATTGTAGTTCCATGAATATAAAACAAAAGAGCAACTTTTACAATACTTGTCCCTCTGGGAGAAAAATCTGGAAGGAAAAAGATTTTAATAATTTCTAAATGATCCATGTGTGGAATGCTGATGAAAAATGAGTATTTCTTTAGTCTTAAACTTTGTTGAATAAGAATTTGTGGTAGGAAAATCTGCAGCAATTCAGAAATTTTAGTTTAGAATATCTTAAGTGAATTCTACCCATCATAGAGATTTTGAGCTATGCTTCATAAAAATCCCTCTTATTCTGTTTTTTTTTTTTCTTTTTTGTAGTACTGGGGATCAAACCCAGGGAACTCTACCACTGAGTTACATCCCCAGTCCTTTTTATTTTAATTTTGAGACAGGGACTCATTAGGTTTCTTGGGTTGGCCTTGAATTTGGGATCCTCCTTCCTCAGCCTCCTGAGTAGCTGGAATTACAGGTGCACATCACCAAGGGCTCCCCTTACTCTTTACGTCTTGCCTGCTCCTCACTCAGAAGCGAAGCCCAGGCCCGTGACTAATCAGTAATGTGGACAGGACAGCAGAGGAAAACCAGGTTTGGGGGACCTTACCATGAAGGACAGTATTGTCTAACTTATTCCTTCAGGGGTTTAGCCCAGACTGGAGAGAGCTGAAGACATTTCTATGTTTTCATAGCAGGGCCTCCCTGTGGGTTTATGTAGGTCATTWAGACAGAGTAGCCACTAGCCAAAGGGCAAGTGGTTATGAATTCTAAGTCATGYTCGGGTCAGCAAGTCACGACTCCAGGATAGATTCTATCCATTAGAGCAAGCATTGCCTGATTTCCCCAAAATGGATTACAGACTAACACTGGGATCCTATGGCTCATAATCAAACTACAGGAATGACCAAGAAAGAGACGGGGAAGACGGAAGGAAGGAAGGAAGGAAGGAAGGAAGGAAGGAAGGAAGGAAGGAAGGAAGGAAGGAAGGAAGGAGATGTGTCTAAACAGAAGCCAAGAATTTAGACAGGAGGAAATTTTATCCCATACTGGAATGAAACAATGAAGAAAGGTCTGGAGCCTGTCCTCATCTGGGCACAGGTGGCTGTGACTTGGAAGTCAGGCTGGAAGAGGGCGAAGGGAGGAGGCCCTAGTGAAGCTGGAGTTGAACACACTGTGGCAATTATATGGTGAGAGTGGATGACAACAATCAAAACTGACGGCTGCCATAGTCCTTATGTATGAAGACGCTGTTTCACAGGATGTTGCGTTCCTCACGACTAAAACACTCAGGGTCACTCCAGGGAACTGGGCTGCACGAAATAACCACACAAGAGTCAGAGATACCTTTTTCTTTGGGGTCCTGTGACGGCTCCTCTGACCTTAAGGGTCCGCAGAAAGAGAGAGAGCGAGAGCACGCGCTGACCCCTTTTATTGAGGAGGAGCTATTCAAATGAGGCAAGGGGTCAGGTGTCAGGGGGCTGAGTCTAGCTTCATGATGTCCACTGTCAGCAGGTGACTGACACCTGGGTAGGCCACACCCAAAGGCAGAGCAAGAGAAAGGGACACACAAAGGGTGTTTCCATGGAACATTCTACCCCAAACAGGACAAAGGGTAATATCACAAAGGAACAGGTGAGCGTAGCTCAACCCACAGGGCGACACACCTATGTTGGAAGACGCGTCCTCAAACTTTTGGGATGGGGCAATGTCCAGGTCACTATGAGATGCAGTGACGGTCAAAGCCTCTCTGCTCCGGGATGGAGAATGCAAATCATTCAGAGTGGCCTCCCACATCAGGACCTCATTAGATACACCTTGATCCTTTTTAAAGGTGACATCACATTTCTCCTAAGTGGTTCTCAGACTTGCAAAGGAGCAGATCACCAGAGTCCTTYCAGACAGAGGGGCTGTCACTCTCTCATCTTGGCAGGAACTCAGAAAAGTTAAGAAATGGAGGGCGGAGCCAATTACTGCATTCCCAAAGGGAATGATAGATGTGTGTCTGGCTGTTTTCACAAATGACATGGATCAGTGACTTCTATACTGTTGCTCCCTCTTGAAAATAGGCAGGTTAGCCAAGCACGGTGGCACTCACCTATAGTCCCAGAGGCTCGGGAGGCTGAGTCAGGAGGATTTCGAGTTCAATGTCACCCTCAGCAATAATGAGGTGCAAAGCAACTTAGTGAGACCCAGTCTCTAAATAAAATACAAAATAGGGCTGGGGATGGGGCTGAGTAGTAGAGTGCCCCTGAGTTCCATCCCTAGAAGCCCCCATATCCCGCCCCCCAAAATAGGMATGTTAACTGCATTCCATCCCGTGTCTGTTTCAGTCTTATATTTCTTGTTGTGAACGGGGCAGGTAACTTGTCCTTTTATTGCACATGTTGATAAGAACCAAACCTGAGACTATATATTCAGTTCACCTCATAGGCACCACTTCTGATTTAGATCATCTTGGACTTCAACCTGTTGGTATAGTTGTATTAAATYTGGCTTAGTGTTCTGGTTCACGGAAACATGGGCGCCTGAAGGTGGAGTGATGGGTCTCCAAGGCTGCTCTCCCACCTCCCCAGGAACCACAAATCAAAATAACCAAGCCTAGATTTGGGCTGCGTCTGGGATACACCTTAAAAAAATAGACATATAGGGACACTGTATGACTTTCAGAGCTAGGTCCTATGATACCTYGCACCTTCTGCTTGAGCCCTTTGGACAGGTCACTCTGTTGAAAGCCTGTCACCATTCAGTAAGCCCTGCTACCATGAGACACCTGAAGTCCATGACTGAGGAAATCTGAGATGGCGACGGAGGTCAGGAAGAGATGACCTGCCAGCCCAGGGCGGTTCAGCCACGGCTGTGAAGAACTAGACTGAGGAAAGCATCTGCCCAGCCCAACACATGCTCCAGAAGCTTCTCCCCTTCCTACTTCTGATCAGAACCACATGACACACCCTGTGAGTCCAGAGAACCCGTAGACCTGGAAGACACGATAAATTATTGTTTTAAACAGTATGTTTTGGGGAGGTTTGTCATGCTGCAGGGCCTATCTGAATGGGTRCAAAACCAAAATCTGGTCTCTGCCTCCATGTATATAAATTGTGCTTGTGCCAATAATAAATTATATATTCCTTGATTTAAAACCAAGACAATAATTTTCAAACATAGATCCTGCAGGTTTCTGGCCAAATAAATTGGTAAGATTTTGAATTAGAGGAAAAAAGGTAGGGGGGCATTATTTGAGGGCCGTTGTCACAGCATATGACTAAACCAGTCAGGGTCACTCCAGGTGAACTGGGCTGGCACAAAATAATCACACAGAGACAGAGAAMTACCTTTTTCTTTGGGTTCTGAACCAGCTCCCACAAAGGAGGCAAGGAAGGCAAGAAAGAGAGAGAGCATGCCTCGAATTTGGGGAGGGGGGTGGGGTTACTGGGGGAAGCTGTTCCATGGAATATTCTATCCCCAAAAGGGCAGAGGGGTAGGATTACAAAGGAACAGGTGAGTGTCACTCAGCCCCAGCAGGTGACGCCTACTCCTGGAAGCTG